ATTACTGTCAACTCAGTAAGGTCACCATAAAGAACCAGTATCCTCTCCCTCGGATTGACGACTTGTTTGATCAACTCCAAAGGGCAAGCTGCTTTTCTAAAATTGATTTGACGTGGGGTATCACCAACTTAGGGTGAGAGGTGAATACATACCTAAATTGTCTTTCCGTACTAGATATGTTTATTATGAGTTCCTAGTGGTGTACTTTGGTCTAAATAATGCCCCAGCGACTTTTATGGACATTATGAATAGAGTGTTACGGAATTACTTTGATTCCTTTGTGATTGTCTTCATTGATGATATCTTAGTATATTCGAATAGTGAGGGTGAACATATGGACAATTTGAGGGTTGTATTGTAATTTCTCAATGAACACCAACTCATTGAAAATATAGCAAGTGTGAATATTTGTTGAGATTGGTTGTGTTTCTTGGTCATATTATCTCATGTGAGGGTATAGAGTTCGATCTGAAGAAAACCAAAGCGGTTAAGAATCGGCCTACACCTTTGACTCCAACTAATATTAGAACTTTCTTGGGTCTAGCAGGGAACTATAGGAGGTTTGTTGATGGGTTTTCATCTATTTCTTCTCCTTTGACTACCTTAACCCAAAATAATGTTATGTTGAGTGGTCGGAGGCTTGTGAAAAAAGCTTCCAAGTATTGAAAGATAACTAACCTCCGCTCCTATAGTGTTGACCTCACGAAAGGGTACCAAGGGTTTTGTGGTGTATTTTGACACTTTCTCAGTAGGTTTGGGTTGTGTCCTTATGCAACATGGTAAGGTGGTAGCTTATGCCTCTACAAAACTCAAGGTGCATGAGAAGGACTATCCAACTCATGATCTTGAATTAGTGGTCGTAGTGTTTTCTTTGAAAATATAGAGACATTACTTATATGGTGTTTATGTAAATGTAGTTATCAACCATAAGAGTATTCAATATGTGTTCACTCAAAAGGAGTTGAATCTCTGAAAAAGAAGATGGTCGGAAATTTCGAAGGATTACTACGTAAGTGTTATCTACCATCCCGACAAGGCCAATGTGGTTGGGGATTCTTTAAGTCATATGATCATGGGTAGTCTTGTCTTATGTGAAAGAAGGTAAGAAGACCTAGTGAAGGATGTCCATAGATTGACCTGGTTGGGTGTTTGGTTAGAAGATTCTCCGAAAGGTGGATTTATAGTTCACCATAACTCTGAGTCATCTTTAGTGGTTGAGGTTAAGTCTTAGTAGCATCTTGATCATCTATTGACGGAGTTGAAGGAATCGGTACTTAGCAAGTTCAATGAGTCATTCTCCTAAGGGGGGATGGTGTACTTAGGTACCAAGATAGATTGTGTGTGCCGGACGTTGACTATTAAGGGATATTTTTTGAAAGAATCCCATGGTTCCGATTCCATTCATATGGGTGCCTAAAAAATGTATCGTGATCTTCAATAGGTCTATCGGTGGGTTAGTTTGAAAAGGGACATAGCGTAGTTTGTAGCTAGGTGGCCAAATTTCCAAAAGGTTAAAGTCGAGCATCAAAGGTCAGGAGGTCTAACCCAAGTAATAAATGTTTCACTTTGAAATGGGAAGAAATTAACATGGACTTCGTTGTTGGGTAACCTCAAACCCGGAGGAAAAATGACTCAATTTGGGTTATTATATATAAATTGACAAAAATCCGTTTACTTTATCCCCATCAAGTCTACTTATTCGGCGGAGGATTATACAAGAATATACATTAGTTAGATTTTGAGTGTCCATAATTTAGGATAGAGGTGCTCAATTAACTTCTCATTTTTGGAGGTCTTTTCAAAATGGTTTGGGTACTAAATTGAAGCTTAGAACCCTTATCATCCTCAAAGGGATGGTCTAGTGGAGAGTACAATTCAAACCCTAAAAGATATGTTAAGAGATTGTTTGATAGATTTTGAAGGTAATTGGGACAATCACCTACTGTTGATTGAGTTCTCTTATAATAATAGCTACCATTCGAGTATTTCTATGGTAACATATGAAGCACTCTATGGTAGGAGATGCAGATCTCCAATTAGATAGTTTAAGGTTGGTGAGTCTTCAATTCTTGGTCCGACATAATCTATGAAGCTTTGGAAAAAGTTTGGGTGATAGGAGATAGGTTGAAAACAGAGTTTAGTCTGCAAAAATCTTATGCCAACAATAGAAGAAGAGAGCTTGAATTTGAATTAGGTGATTGAGAGTACTTGAATAATTCACCTATGAAAGGGGTGAAGAGATTCGATAAAATGGGGAAGCTTATTCCCCAATATGTGGGTCCTTATGAAATATTGTAATGGGTCGGAAAGGTTGCTTCTAATTTGAAATTACCTAGTAAACTAGCTTCTAGTCATCCGGTATTTCATGTCTCCATGCTCAAGAAATGTTTAGGTGACCAAGTGTTTCTTCTCCTTATTGAAGTGTTGGATATTAATAAGAACCTTTCTTATGAAGATATTCTGGTGTAAATTCTAGATTCTGGTGAAATCCATTGTGTGTCCAACTTGAGATAGTGTGCCTTTTCATGTTTCAAGAGGTTTTAAGAGTTGGAATTTAGTCAAATATGTAAAAAGGTATTAAACATGTATTAGAGTGTGTTTAGGGTTGAAAAGTCCGAGTATGACTCCCCAAGGACCACCCGAAGGGTCTTTGGAGAGGACCCTAACATTGGACCATAAAAGTTGTCTTGTGGCAGTGGAAGTCGGCGAACCAAACAACAAGTCGTCAATGGGTCAAAGTCCCTTTGATGGAGTTAGTTTGTAAATACCTATCCATTTCCAAGAATGGTTTCCAAAACCAGTCACAAACTACACCCTTTAATATGGGGCCGTCGAATGGACAACGGGACGTAGGCTGGGGTTCGTGGTTTGTCACTTTACTGCACTGCCTGGTTTTAGCTAAGTTGGGTCAATTAAATAGTTAAATTATTAATTAATTAAGGGTTAAGGGGTGGGTATTTAAATTTGTTGGGGGGACTATATAAAGACTAACCCTCATTAAACTAACTTAACAACTCATTATTCCCAAACCCAATTCTCTCAAATATTTCTCTACTTTATCTCTCTATTACAAGACCCTGTTGAAAGTCACGCTTCAAGATTCTCTAGGGAACCAAGACTCAATATTTCTTCTATCAGTCTTCAAGGATTGTTAAGGTATGAATGCTATCCACTCTTGGGATCTCTTTCCACAAGAGGCTGTTCAAAATTAGTTTCTCATAATGTCTAAAAGATGGGTTTTCTTCCAATTTCTTGAATTGTCTTTCATAATGATTTGATTTTACATTCCTTCGACTATTATTGATAGATTATGATTGTTTATGGGTTAATTGTTGTAGTTCTTAGTATTTGACCTAGTTCTATGGAATAATTAATGATTTAACCATTTCCCTAACCCTAGGTTATGAATTGAGAGTGATTTAATTAGTGATGATACAATTGACTTAGTTCTTGTATAGATTACTATTATATGATGTTATTAAGTTAATTGATGCATGAATATGGTTGGATTGATGGTTATAGCTTTAAGAAGCTTTTGGAGGCTATGTGGTAAACCTTTATGATCTTGAGTTATTTACTTCAATGATGATGATTTATACTTGATTATTGATGTTCAATTGAAGTATTATATGTCATTAGATTAAGAAGATGATGATATGATGAATGTATTGAAATATTATGAATATGTTTAATTGTAAGATCATGTTAAGAGTATGATGATACAAGGTTGAATAAGAATCACTTGTATGCCTTACTATGACATGAATATGATCTGTTTATCTCAAAAATGAAGGGTTGTTATCGAAGGAAATTCTCATAGAATACCTTATGAGCTAATGACATTATATACAAGGATTTATTCTCCAATGGCCTATATTAAGCTATGATTATTAAGAATGACTTAATGGCTTAAAGATATTTCAAAAAGGGAATTTAGCTTAGGACCAAGCAAAGTAGTTATGAGAGTTGTCCCATCCGAATGTGGAAAGGTAGGTTCACAATGATTCTCATGAGATGAGGACTCCAATTAATGGGTATATAGAGGGTTTAATACATATATCTTAGAATTTTAACTTTGTTGCCTCTATAGGAATGCTAGCTAGTGGATCCACCTAGAATGGTATGTTCATGTTTTGACTCCACATTGGCAAGTATAGCACCTTCATGGTATGGGGTTTCATGACACTGGATTCCATGTTTAGCTCGCATGGTATATTGTCGATTAAGGCGATCGTTCCCGAAAGTAAACTGAATGAATAAAAGTAATAAGGTGACAACTAATTAGGGTGACTTCAGGGGTTGTACTTAGTGTAAGTAGGGTATGGCACTCTACTAATACCTTGCACAAGTTGGCCTTACGGGGAGTCCAAAGATGTTTTTCTTATGCACTGATAATATGAATGAAATGGATATGTTGACTTTACATGTTGATAATCATATATGATCTTAGTTTCATTGATGAACATGTTATTGGTATAAATTTTAATATATGATGATGATTGTTTTATCAAAAAGGAAAAATAATATTTTTATATGTTTTTGACTTTGTTAGAATCGTCACTTAGTTTTTGAGAAAAATAAAAAAAACATAATTTTCAAATGACATAAATACAAAAACCTCTTTGAAAACTTAAAGGGGGTTCGGAAATTCATATTTATGTATTAGGAAGGTGTTTAAGGCACCTAAAATATATTCGCTGAAAAGCGATTTTCCAACAACTAACTTATTTGGCTAAAATTTAACTTTAAATTGCCCCTAAGATCAATATTTCCAGCCGGTTTCCGTAGAAAATTCAGGAAAACGATTAAAATACCTCTTCAAGTTGTGTTGAAAGGTGAAGTACTAGTTTCAATATGTAAAATAAATTTGAACCCTTAGCAAGATTTGTTTTAGATTTACTTAAATCGTTAAAACTAAAATGGTGTTGCCCAGGGATTTAGGCTCTTTAACCCTAAACCAACAAGTAAAGCAGGTAAAATAACAAAAAACAAAAGAGGGAGAAAGAGAATTGGGTCCAAATCTGAATTTTTTGTCCACCTGGATCGATATTTGGACCCACCTGTTTTGGGACTTCGGCCCACTTCATTTGTACTTGTCATAAGTTGTAGCATAATAATAAAGAAAACTTTACAAGGCTTAGGCCCAAAGAAAATGAAATACAACAAAAGCAAATATAAGATCAAATATGAGCTTTTGACCCAGATTCTTCTATTCCTTCTATCTTGTTCAATTTCCTTCAAATCCTCATGCTAGTTCTCGGCTTCAAAAATCTGTCCACCGAACTTTTGGATGGACTCGAATGAAGAAACTTGAGCCTTTCTTCCTTCGATCTTGTTCAATTTCCTTCAAATCCTCATGCTAGTTTGGCTTCAAAAATTTGTCCACCGAACTTTTGGATTGACTCGAATGAAGAAATTTGAGCCTTTAAAGCTCTCCGAGATGCAAGGAAAGAATCGAGTTCCTGGCGAACTCAAGGCCGATTATATACTTGCGGAAAAAAAAAAACAAATGAAACACGTAAGCCATACAATATTGACCAACTCGATTCAACACAAAATGTGTATAACCATAAGTCTATAATAATTTAGTAGCAAGCAATTTTGAAATAGAGAAGGCAATTTTATATAACTGTTGCCAAACAACATAAAGGAAATTAATCCATGCACACTTCCTTTCAAATGAATTAACATTCCAAGACTCCTGAATTTAATACAATAGGCTACGAGAATATCGCAAAAATTTAAAAGCCTCATACGATATATAAAATGCCTTTGTTGATTTTTTATTTTTATTTATTATTATTATTATTATTATTATTATTATTATTAATAAAGGGCACAAACAAACAGACTTTATCCCTTAACTATCCTCCGACTCCTTATCACGTTTGACACCGCATCATAATACGGGAAGAAATAATAATGATACGAAATATAATTTAAAGCTTACATGTGCTCAAACCTTCTATTAATTATAAAAGACAAAAGAAAGAAGTGTACATAAATTTATATTAAGGTTCCATACAGTGAACAGTTTTACATTTTTGTCACACACTTTTTTTATTATCTTTTATTATTATTATTTTTTCTACATCTTAACACAGAAAGTCTTGAACCTTACGATATTACGCGCCGACTAGTAGAGGGAAAGTAAAATTGGAGTATGAGAAGAAGCAGCCAAACGAGAAAAGATCAAAATCAAGAATAAAAAAATCTCGGAGAAATTAATCTAGGCCTGGTCTGGAGACGAGATAAATCAGAGACATACATTTCAACTCTTATTTGAACGACATGGCGATTTTGACGAACAAATGAACACAACAACATCTAAACTCCCGATTGAGGGGGTTTCAAGTTCCGCACAATGTTCACCAAAACACGGTAACCGCAGGCTCATTCAATTCTTAAAAAAAATATTTAAAATGTGTATATGTACTTGTATGCAGAAAGGTTCGGCAAGTCCACAATTCGGCATTTTATGAGCTACAGGAGAAGCAGCTAAGAGATGTACAAGTCTAGATAAGTCTCAAAATTTAACGAGACGAAAACAACACCTTTGTTTAAGAAAACAAACCAGCCATGCTTTGTCGAATATTATCAGCCAAGATTTGCAATGATACAGAGAAAACTCAACAAGTTACCAGAAATGCAAACCGCCTAGTTATCACATTCACACACGAATAGACCATATTAAAAGGCAGACAACTGCATGAATGAACTAACAGCCCCAAACTGTTTAAGCTGTGCAAAACCAAACAGACCAGTGAACAAAATAGCTACAAATTTAAGGGATAACGAATGCTGACGATATGCGCTTGATCGAGCGCTCAATCACTTAAAGAAAGAAAAATAGAATGATATGAACAAATGATTCAGAGATCAAAGAAACGAGAACAAACGACTTTGAACCCATCATACAAGTTCGTCTGGACTGCGCAGAGAGCTACACTCATGCCAACACAAATAACTTGTAAGAAAACGCAAGGATGTCAAATGGTTTACCTTACTTCGGGGAAGCGAACGAGAGTGAATGAGCTGAAGAGCGAGAAATCCACCACAAAACATAAGAACACAAGCAATAGTTTAAAGTTTGAGCAAGATATCGAGCTCAAGACGATCAACTTCTAACCCACAAACAGGATCCGAGCAGCAGACGGAGGACCCCGAATAAAATCCCAAAACTCGACTAAAGTATGGAAACGCTAGCGACAGAAGGACGGAAAACAAAGGCCAAGTGACTACCTCTTCATTTTCTCAAAGTATTTTGCATATATCACGACTATTTGCCAAAAGAAAAACGATTGTAACTCAAAAAATATCCTAGAATCCTCCTTCTGTCGCTAAAAATGATCAAAACAAAGAAAAAAGAAACCAAAACTGTCAACTCAAAATTTGTCTAATTTTCTATTGAAGAAACCAAACAAAATTGTTTTTCTTCAACTTTTTAACTCTCAGAATTTCTCAAGAAACCCTCACCCCCCCCCCCAAAAAAAAAAACCTTCTGATGAGGAAACGAGAATATATATAGAAAATTTTTTAGGGTTTTCGAATGGGGGGAAAAGAACAAGGGCGAAATTGAGTTTTCAACCTCAAGTTTGATTTACGAAACTTTTTCCCAATTTAGATCAAAAAAACTTTTCCGAGAATCTGAAATTATCCGGAATAGGAAATTTGTTGGGTTTTATTTGCCCTAAATTTCTTACTTTAAATAGGTTTTCCTTGTAGGAAAAGGTTTTAAATTGACTAATCCTTTTCTTGTAGGAAAAGGTTTAGGACTCTATTAGCATGTTCCTTCTAACTTAATCAGCATTTACAATGTAGTCTTAAGGGTTTTGAGAGTTTTGGTCAGGGGGAGAAATTGTGAGTCACAAGCTTGATACGTTATCACTTGTGTGAACCTCCCATGTATTCCGAGTGAATTGGTTGAGGTTGTTTCTCTCTGTGTTTTGTACTCTCATATTGATAGTGGATTGCTCATCTCCTTTGTGGACGTAAGTCGATTGACCGAACCACGTTAAATCTTTGTGTCTTTTGATATATTTCTCGTTGTCTTCTTACTCGTGGTCTCTCGAGGTTTTCTTTGCTAGCTTCCGCGTTTACACCTGCTTATTTACGGTAGTGGTATCAGAGCCAGATTCAATGACGAAGTCAGGTTCAGTGGTTCGATAATCGATGATTGAACCAGGTTAAAAAGATGTGTTCATCTTGGCGGTGTAGTTCTAGCGGTAACCTTTTTGACAGTAATGAAGATTTTGTTGGAGAAATTATTTCAGAGATTCTTTAGGTTGAGACATAAATTTTGCAAAGGAGATTATGGAGAGGAGAAGCAAGTTGTTGAAGATTAAGTCAAGAAGGTGGACAAAATTATTTTGTCAGAAATTCAGGCCAAGGGGGAGATTTGTTGGGTTTTATTTGCCCTAAATTTCTTACCTTAAATAGTTTTTTCTTGTAGGAAAAGGACTTAGATTGACTAATCCTTTTCTTGTAGGAAAAGGTTTAGGACTCTATACATAGAGGCATGTTCCTTTTAACTTAATCGGCATTCACAATGTAGTCTTAAGAGTTTTGAGAGTTTTGGTCAGGGGAGAAATTGTTAGTCACAAGCTTGATACGATATCACTTGTGTGAACCTCCCATGTATTCCGAGTGAATTGGTTGAGGTTGTTTCTCTCTGTGTTTTGTATTCTTATATTTATAGTGGATTGCTCATCTCCTTTGTGGACGTACGTCGATTGACCGAACCACGTTAAATCTTTGTGTCTTTTGGTATATTTCTCGTTTTCTTCTTATTCGTGGTCTCTCGAGGTTTGCTTTGCTAGCTTCCGCGTTTACACCTGCTTATTTACGATCCTAACAAAACAGCTCGGATTAGCTCTATCTTCCTTGATATTGACGTGGAATTATCTCAGGCCACCAAGGACGGTTAGCGTGCTCTGTGAGCTTCTGAAAATCGTACTAAGACGCTCAAGGAAATAGACAGTGCATCCTGCGTCTTTCGCTGCTTGGTTCATGGACTCTCCTTTACTGAAGAGGAGTTGTATGCGCCAGTTTTGGATTCTTTTACGCGTTGAGAAAGAGGATGTGAGTATAGGGGGCCTCACTCGCCGTTGCTGTACGTACATCGTCGTGTTACTCTGTTGGGCAGTGTCTTTGATGTTGAGAGAAGAAGATCGATTCCCAGATTCTTTGATTTAAGAAAAAAGGTTGGGTCGGTCATGGAGGAAATGGGCTGTAAGGTTTTGAGGTGGGCTGCGACTAATTTTATTGGAATTGGACTATTTTGGGAGTTGAGGGTGGGCCGCATAACGTTGGGGCTGGGTAATTGGGTAAAATATGAGATGGGGAAAATTAAAGGATTCGGGCTGCGAAAGATCAAAAGGAAGGCCCAAACTTAATTTTTGCAAAGTGTCTAATGGGTTTAGAATATAAGATAAAAATGAATTAATAAAAATTAATTAAGAAGCTTCATACTTATAACGAAAGGGAAAACCGCACTTTTAGTCCGTGCGATAAGGCTATATTCTTGTTTTTGTCCTTGTGTTATCTAACATAGCACTATTAACCTTCAATTATTTCAGGTGAGTGATTTTAATCCATCAACTAACAGATTCAAAAAAAATTAACGGAGACTTCACCTAACTCAGGTATTTCATTTTTATTGCTTCAAAAACTTTTAAAAGTATTCTGCATAACCTAGTTCAACCCTAGTTCTGCACAACGAAGAAGTCTCAATCAACGGTAGCCGGTAAAGACTTATCTTATAAATTTCATTTAAAAAGAAGTCTCAATCTATTTGGTGTGGATGTGCAATGGAATTGTGTTCTAAAAGTGGATTGCAATCCACTCCATTATGTGAGTATTATTTTAAGTTCAATAGTTCAAAATATGTTAAAGACAAGAAAATATCTCCACAAATATACCCAGAATACTTTGAATTGTTTTTCCCATAATGTTATGCAAATAATTATTTCTATATGTGAAAATATGATTCAAAATATACTAGTTGTAAACTTCAAGCCACTAGAAGAACTCAATATCAAACCCTCAAAGTTCAGTATAGTAACACATCGTATTCTTTTTTTTCACCTGCTTCAACTTCAATGCAAGTTACTTGTTACATATTATTACTTTTGTTCTTTTACAATTCACCTCGGTGTGAGAGGAGATCAAAATGGGGGTGCATATTTAAAGGACTATTGTGAAGTCTTTTCTTGTTTTTCTGAAAACAATTAGAGTACACTTTGCCAGAGGCAAAACTTTATAAGCCACTAATTAGAACTCGTAGGGGTAGTGTAAGACGTTGATATTCTGCAAGGTTGTTGATATTTCAGTCTCTGTAAACCACACAGTTTGCAACTTCATGCAGTCCCGCCTCCTTATAGCATTCAACAATCCTTTGTGCGCAATCGTCCCATGAACTGTCGATGCTTTCTAGATCCAACAAGAAAGTAGCTTCATCCAATTCAACCTGAGCAAGTTGCTTCCTTTCTTTAGATCGGCTTCCTTACCCTCCTCAGTTACTTTCTCTTTGATATACTCAATTTGTTCATCTTCCCATTCAGCCATATTAGCAACTTCATGTACTCACAACCCGAAGTCCACCTTGGTGATTTTAAAGCCCCCTAGCAGCATCTTCAGCTTCTGTATTGCGCCCAACCGTCATCAAAACTTCACCATTCACTTTTGATTAGAAATAAAAACACATTATTATCATTATCAGAAGCACCACATAAATTCAATGCTCTCAATTCTATCTTATAATATACACATCTTCAATTTATTTCAAAAGAAGTCCATTCAATTGTTTTTAGTTTCAACAACAACGACAATCTGAATTGAATATATGATAAAATCAACTCTTCCAACTTATTACAAGTAAATTGAATCTTAAGGAAACTTACAAGTAAAATTGAAGCTTAAGGAAATTTATATGTATGGTAACATGCAAAAGTTATCAAGTTGATCATACTCGAGACATACTGGCCAAGTGGGGAATGAATGTGTATCATACATGCCCTTTGTGTGGTGCCACTGGAGAGAGTCATTTTCATTTTTTTTTCCTGTTTTATGTCTTATCTAATATGGCTCAAGATACTACAATGGCGAGAGGTAATCAGAACACCTAGAAACTGGGAGTTTGAATTAGCATGAGCTAGTACACATGCAAAGGGTAGGAGTGTTAGAGATGAGATGTACAAACTATCCTCAAGTGCAACACTCCAATGTGTTTTACATTATAATTTACTTTATCTCAATTAAACTAATATGTTCTCATTTCTCAAATCTACATTTGATTTATATAATGAAACCAATATGTTTTTTAAAATCTCTTTACAGATGCAGGTGAAGATGTTGATATGTATTCAATTAAATTGGTTTTATGGGTTCGTGGATATTTTAGCCTGAGATGAATTATGTTGGCGGACGAATATATTATTATGCCTAATGTAAGGGCGAGGAAAACTCTATTATTCAGATGAGATTATGTGTCAAGAAGTTGAATGTTGATGATAGAATCCTAAAATTTTGGTTTAAATTTGAACCTTATTTCGAGACAAGTACAAGATTGTTAACAAATAATTCAGATATTAATAAGCTTGTCCACAAAATACCTGTGGATAGAGAAATCGAGATACTTATTGAGCACATAAATGAGGACCAATGGAGTTACGATGTAACAAATTTAGAGATCCAACCTCAAAATGAAGAAGGCTTTATAGATGTGAATGTAGTAGATGAGGGTGATGATAGTGATGCTAGAAGTGAATATTGTGAGTCATTTCATGACTCTAACTATCCTGCAGAACAAGATGTCATTAATTTAGATCAAATCAGTCACTCTATTGCAGAGTCAGCTAGTATCAAAGGAAAAAAATAAAAAAGAATCAGATTTGTGAAACTATGAAGAACATTGAGTTTGGGTTTGTCTCAAATATGCTACCAAAGATTCCTAGTCAGACTCAAGAAAAACATTGTGTTGTATCAGATGATGAATTTATGAGTTTGCATGGAGATTCAGATGCTGATAATCCTAAAAGATATATCATTTTCAATCCAAGCAAAGACATGGAGGATCCAACATTTAAATTTTTGATCAATATGATTTTTGATAATAGTAAGTAGTTTAAGTGGGCTGTTGAAGTACATGTTGTGATGAAGAAGAAAGACTTCTAATTTTTGAAGGATGAAACTCAGAGGTCAAGAGCAATTTGCAAAGTATCAAACTGCAAATGGCTCATATTTGCATCAAAGGCCAATCAGGATGAACCTTTCCAGATTAAAACAATAGGCCCTGATCATGAATGTGGCAACCAAAGAGATAATAAGACTATTGACTCTGCATTTTTGGCTAAGAAGCAGAAGATTTCAAAATTAATCCTACCTGGGGTGTGAAAGAATTTCAAGCTCATGTAATGAGAACTCACAAGTGCACACTTAGTAGATACCAATCTTACAAGGCAAAAAAGGCAATGAAGTTTAATACAGGAACTAAAGAAGAACAATTTAACATGTTGTAGGACTATTGCGCTGAGTTACAGAGGAGTAATCCTGGTACTACATGCATTTTGAAGATGGATGATAACCCAAACACAATGGTCAGAGGCAAAAGAAGATTTTTAATGCTTTATATGTGTTATGCGGCTACTAAGCAAGGATTTTTAGCGGGATGTAGACCAATCATAGGGGTTGATGGATGTCACTTGAAAGGACATCAAAAGGGCGTTCAATTATTGATTGTTGTAGGCGTTGACGGAAATAACAGCATGTATCCATTTGCATTTTCTGTCGTAGAAGGAGAATTGAAGGAAACATGGTATTGGTTTCTCACTCTTCTTGAAGAAGACCTAAGAATCTCAAAAAATTCTCGTGCGTGGACTTTTATTTCAGATAAGCAAAATGGTTTACTTCCAGATTTTAATGAAGTACTTTCGGATGTTGCACATAGATTTTGTGTGAGGAACCTGCAGAATAACTTTAAAACTGAAGGTTTTGGAGGACAAGCACCGAAGGATGTTGTATGGAAAGCTGCAAGGGCAACCACTGAATATACATTTCACAAGTACATGGAAGAAATGAAAAAAGTGAACCCTGAAGCCCCTCAATGGTTCACTAACAAGCCTCTAATTCACTGGTCCAGAGCTTTTTTCTCTTCTTTCCTGAACTGTGATATGTTGTTGAACAATTTGTGCGAGTCATTCAATAGTGTACTATTAGTTGCTAGAGACGAACACATTTTGACAATGCTCGAGTTAATTAGGGTGTACATGATGTCAAGATTTCAGAAGAACAGAGATAACATGATGAAGCATGGACATAAAATTTGTCCAAAAATCTTGTTGAAGTTAGAAGAGAACAAATCTAAGGCTACTGAATGTACTGTCACTAAAGCTGACCTGTTTCATTATCAAATTGAGGACGTCAATTTTAGACTATTCTATGTTGATCTTAAGGAGATGACATGTTCTTGTAAGAGATGGGAGTTAACTGTAATACCTTGTCATCATGCAATTGCGGCTATATGGGTTAAAAGAGACGAACCAGAAAAGTATGTCCAAGAATGCTACACAACTGAGCAGTATATGAAGAGATATGACCACTCCATCTTGCCAATTAACAGCTTTGAAGAGTGGCCTAAAACAAGAGTTGAACAACCACTGCCACCGATATACAAAACTCAGCCTGGTAGACCACCAAAATTATGAAAGAGATGATCTGATGAGACATCCCAAAAAGAATCAAATCTTAAAAAACATGTCTCATTAAAAGCATCCAGAAAAGGTACAAAAAAGAAGTGTTGTACATGTGGAAAATAGGACATAATAGTAAAAGATGTCCTATTATCATTCGAACCAGACAACAAGAGGTTCAAGAACAAGAAATTGGAATAGAAGGCCTTTCTGGTGAACCAAGCAATGTAACAGATGCAAGTATTCCAATCGTACATCTTTGTCTTCTTCTTTTATTCTTTTTAGATAATGAGTTGGTTAAGTTTAGTAAGAAAGAACAACTAAATATTTTTCTTATTGCAGGTTTCAAGTATTGTTAGTGACATCCAACTATCACTGCAGCCTAGTTCCTCGTTTGTGACTAAATAGACAGTAAGTACTTTTCTTAATATACATGTTTTTAATATCAATTCGTGCGGTAAATAGTGAATCACTTTTTTTATTATTAAGTGGTTAAACTTACTATTTTTCTTACGTTCTTTCATATATATTCCAGATCAATCAACTTAACCATCAAATAACACAATCTAGAGAGCAATTAAAGAGTTTCGCATTCATTTCAACAGAAATTGGCGATCACTTTAGGGACGGTACAATCTCACACTTTGTTAGGGGGGAGGGGGGAGATAATGCATCCCACCGTCAAGATTACGAGCACTTTCTCAAATTACCAAGAAAGGGAGAAAGGGACACATTAAAAAGAGAACTATTGGTTCATCATAAATAATGAAATCAAAAAAATTGATGAGCGAGAAGTAAGTGCTTATGGATCTATTTCATTTGTGATGATTTTTTATTTAAGTAATAGGCATGGATATGTGTTTTACAGACACCATGAGCGAGAAGTATGTGCTTATGGATCTATTTCTTTTGTGAAGATTTTTAAGTTAAGTAATAGGGATTGATATGTGTTTTAAAGACACCATTTTCAGATTTATTTTTGTGATGACTTTTAAACATCTTTTTGTTTCCATTTTAAAGTAATGTGTACTTTAATTCTTTCATATTCCTATTATGTCACAGATTCTACTGACACAGAAAGTACCTTTTCAATAAAAGAAGCATACATGACTACTATTTCTGTAACTTATATGAGTAGAACAACCTTCACTTCCAATCTTCAATATCACCGTTTACAGTAATTAAATGCTTGGCATCAGGACACTTATGGTGTTGGTCTTACAATATATAAACTATTGGTACAATATCAATTGATGAAAAAGCTTCTTTATTAGTATTAATCAGTCTGGCAAACTACTTTTTAAAATTCTTCAAGCTTATCTAAGCTGGTATCTAAGGATGAGTACGACAATGAGCTATTTTATACAGGTGTAGTTTCAATATTTATAAATACTAGATACTTCTTAACATATGTAGACAAGTTGAAAGAGCTTCAAAAGTTATACTTTTTAAAGTCAAAGAGGAGATCACCCCATCTCAAGTCAGTATGGATCTACTCGTCTTTTAAAAAGTCAAAGGTTATTGCTAATTGATTTTACTTGTTCAACCTGATAGAGAGATATAAAAAATATGTCGTGCTTGATTCAAAAAACAACAAAGACCAGTTCATGTACTTTGTGTTTCATTTCATCATCGATATCACTTTGGTATAGAAGATGAAAATAGAAAGATTTGTTTCTATTCAGAAGTGCGCGCTTCGAAGGGCAGAGCAAGTAATAAAACGCCTGTAACAAGATAAAAAAAGCTTTTTTATTTACTAGCAAGAGACAAAGAGCATCAACTTTTAGTCATTTATCTTGCAACTTACTTTGCTTGATACACCCTTGTCCTTTTATTGAAGTAAAAGTCGTTGACTCAATCTCTCTTGATGAAAATATTCTAATAGGCAACAAGAATACTTAAGCATCAATTACCTTATTGTAGCAGCTCCAAGCTATCCAGATGAAGCTCTGAAAGATAGGGACGATCACTGCAAAAAGCCATTTCGGCAGATGACAAATAAAAGGTTCAACATGACCAGTTATTGTAGAAAGGTAACAAGCAAATGTTTTCCATTTTCTGCCGATGCCTTGTATAATTAAACAAATGTAAGATTATGAAATTCATTAGTAATAATTTTCTAAGGCTTGTTTAAAACTGTAAGTCCCAATCAAACAATTAAAACGGAAAAATTATCTTTGAGAACTACATATATATCTTGCCATTTGGACATGGAAAGTAGCCATCGGGAGATCAATTCATTTAGTTGATTACAAATGAATGGTGAATTTACTTTCTTTGAATTTTTGAATAACTTAGAAATGGCCAAAAGTTGCAGCAATACATTTGAACAACACACATTAATAAGAAAATCCCCTTTTATGAACACAAAAACCCAGCTCAAAATTATAAAAAAGATCGAGAAGAGACCATGAGGGTTAAATAAATCAGAGCAGTAACATACCAAAAATCACAAATACATTGTTGATTTTTCAGTAGATCCAGGTGGATTTTGTTCCTTAGATGACTTACGAGTTCGTCCTACAAAGAGAGAAATCTCATGCCTATCATGTGGGTCTTCAAGCTAGTTCTTTAAAGAGAGAATAAAAATGAAATACCTGAATTACCTCTTTTTGCAATAAAGTCTCTGTTAATTTTTTTTTGGATGTTTTAATTGAGGATTAAAATCACTCACCTGATATAATTGAAAGTTGATAGTGTTAAATTAGATAACACAAGGAAAAAATAAGAATATAGCCTTATCACAGGGTCTAAAAGTGTCGTTTTCCCTATAACGAAATAAAATAATTGATCTAACTATAAAATCATTAATCCAAAAGTGTATGATAATTAAGTAAAGTATTAAAACCAAAAATAAAATCTTTTTGAGAGGATTTTTGAATAATTATATAATATAATAGTTGTATGCATAATAACGTAAAACACATACACTGTCTGAAAAATATAATAAGGTGATGAAAATAAATTAAAAATAACTTAAAATATTTTACACTTTATAAAATCTATTTATTTTTTAATCGTGTAGAAAAATGAAGCTCGTTAATTAATTCATATCGTTGAGGGTCAAGATTTGGGTGTCAACAAGTGTCCCTTGTTTCACTTAGATTAATGCAAGAAATTCGAGGAAATTAAAATTGACCAAACCAATTTTGACCGTCTACCTATTCATCTTTAGGAAAGGGATTTGGTGCGGACTCTAGGAATTATTGCTTAACCCCAAAAATGGATTTCCTACATATCTCAAGTTATATGAGATTCAAGCAACTTGTAGTTCGGCTCGATCAGTTGAAAAAGAAGTTTATTATGATAGATAACATTTGGTTTCGGACAAGTGACAAATTAAATGAGTATGAAAAGGAAGCATGTAACCTCTTAGACATGAATGTGGCGTGCTTAACACCCATAATTAAGAGCTTACAGGTACATAATTTCCAAATTTCTTAGTGCATTGTCACTTAGATTGGAAATTGGTTTTCGGCGGACCAAAATTCCGGATACGAAATCGAAACTGACAAAAACCAAAGGAAAAACCCACATGCTTTCTGATAGGGGTGTGGTTTGATTGTCGTGGAAGTCACTCCTTTACTCACGTCCTATGACTTTGCACTCCTCTTTGGACTATGTCCCAGTTCGCTACTAAGAAAGAGTGCTCACGTTGTGCTGCATTCTTTTTTATGTCGTCCTCCCCTGTGGTTTGATTTTTTGGAGAATTCGTCCTTTTGGATGGTCTAGAAAAAGACTAAGATAAAACTCGTTAGCATAAAAATGCAATTAAAATAGGAGATAGTGTCTTTTACCGTGTTTACACTCAATTTTTCTCCTTGACATTTGTCGCCAACTCGATCGGTTTGATGTAAAAAAAATAAACCTTATGTATTATGATTGCAATATAATTTTCAATATACTCCTAATTTGATGTCGAAATAGATAAAAGTTGATGCATCATTTATATTTCTCTTGATGTCTTCTCTAATGATTATTCTGGCGTCCAATCTTTCCAAATAAAGATACAGTTGATGTTGAGGGGTAGATATTCCCCGTGAGATGCACGATTTCCTTCTCTAGAGTGCATGATTTCTTGCGGGGCATGAATATCTTACCGTGATGTGTGAATATTGACTCGTGATGCATGATCTTCCGTGTTGCATGAACATTGACTCGCGATCCATGGACATTAATTCACGATGCATAATCTTCTGCGATACATGAATATTAACTCGCGATGCGTGATCTTCTGCGGGGCATGAATATCTTCCCCTGATGCGTAACTCTCTGTGAGGCATAAATGTCTTCTCGTGATGCATAACTTTCTGTGAGGCATGAATATCTTCTCGCGATGTATGAATATTAACTTGTGATGCATGATCTTCCGCGATGCATGAATATTAACTCGCGATGCATGATCTTCCACGATGCATGAATAGTGACTCGCGATGTATGATCTTCCATGATGCATGAATATTGACTCGCGATGCATGATTTTCCACAATGCATGAATATTGACTCGCGATGCATGACCTTCCGCGATGCATGAATATCGACTCACAATGCATGATCTTCCGCGATGAATGAATATCTGCGAGGCATGATATCTTCTCGTGATGCATGTCTTTCTGCGAGGCAGGAATATCTTCTCGCGATGCATGATTTTTTTGGGCATGCATATTTTCCCGTAATGCATAACTTTCTACGAGGCATGAATATCTTCTCGCAATGCATAACTTTCCGCGAGGAATGACATCTTCTCGTGATGCATGACTTTCTATGAGGCATAAATATCTTCTTGTGATGCATGATCTTCCGTGATGCATGAATATTGACTCGCGATGTATGAGTATTAACTCTTGATGCCATCCTTAGTACCAAATGAAGATAATGCTTAAATCGAGCAACATAGTTATATTTTGGTGCATTCTAGGTAATGATATCCTCTCAACGGACAATACAATAAAATGACCCTTCAGGTAGTGTATCATCTAGATTGACAATACAAATAAATGACCTCTCTGCGCGGTATATCATCTCAATCGACAATATAAATAAATGACCCTTCGAGTGGTGTATCATCATGACCGACAATAGAAATATATGACCCTTAGGGTAGTAGTAATATCATATATGATATTAATGGAGATGACGTCCTTTATGGAAACCGTGAACTCTTTCTTGAGATTTTTCGCTCGATTCATCTTTTAATCTCTGGATGTTCTTTAGACTTCATGTTGTTGGAAATTGACTGAAATAAACCCCCGTATTCCCAAGCTCCCGGTATAAGCAATATAAAATAATTCCTACATCTAAAGGAACACCATTAATTTTTGGAGAGCTTTCTCCTCCCTTGACTTCTCCATATTCATCGATCAAAGGAATTTGTTGATTTCAGACAAAGCTGTAAACCTGCGTCAAAAGAAAAATTGTTAGTTTTTAAATGAACTGATCTCTGTCGATTCTTCAGGTGTCTTCTCACTGCCCTGCTATTTCCAGTTGATTTTCTGATCTCCTGAATCTTGATAGTAAGACAAAATATTTTACGCCAAAACAAAAGAAACATATAAGGAAAATCTTTAAGAAAAAATAAATTTTCGAGAAGTAGTATTTTGAAAAGGGTCATTGACAAGTGTCATGTCATGTCAGGCTTAGGAAACTTCTTTGAGTCTGATGCTTATGGGTCTATCTGATTCTTCGCTTGGGAGTTATCAGAGTCACTCCAGACTCTCGATAAACCCCATTTGAAATTTTGAGGCCATCCTCAAAATTTCTGTCCAGTTACATGTCTTTGATTTATCTTTAGTTGTTGGTGTATAAATCCCAAAATTTTTGAAATCTTTCAAAATTTTTGTCCCAGTTGCAAATTTTGAAGTATCTTCCATTTGAATTACTGAGGAAAAATCATCTTCTTGATAATTTTTGAGTCCCTCTCAAAAATTTCGTCCCAGTTTCTATTGTAAAGAAAAAATAGAAATCTTACAGGAAATATGACCAAACCCTTGTGTCGCCTACAAATCTTGTTGAGGCAGGAATCAGGTCAAACGCAGTTCCCCCCTTAAATGTTGACAAAATAAGAAAATTACAAAGAAATCGACCAAGACCAACATAGGCCGTCTACGTATCTCATTCTTTAGAATTCAGGTTGAACGTATTTCCAATTCAGAGAAATATTTAAAAGGGATAAATGGGGTGACCGAGGCCAACAAAGTACGCCTACGTATCTCATTCTTGAGGATTCAGGTCAGATGTAGTTCATTACAAGGGGATAAGATTTATAACAAAATAAATACAAGCAAATAGAATGATTACAAGTAAACAACATAAAATGCAAACTGAAGCTTCACACGTAGTATCTCTTGACCACTTCTGAGTTGATCGATTTTGGCCATGTGGTTCCATCCATCTCCGATAAGATCAAAGCACCTTCAGATAATACTTTTCGAACCATGTATGGACCTTTCCTGTTTGGGGCGAATTTCCCTTTATGCTCATCTTGATGAGTAAAAGTGGTCTTAAGCGCCAACTGACTGATTTCAAAAATTCTGGCTCTGACTCTCTTGTGGAAAGCGTGAATCATTCTCCGTCGATATAGTTGGCCATGATAAACAACAAATTTTCTCTTCTCGTCAATCAAGGTTAACTGATCAATTCGCTTGCCGACCCATTCAGCATTACTCAACTCAGCTTCTTCAATAATTCTCAATGACAGTATCTCAACTTCTGCTAGTATGACTGCTTCTGTTCCATATACTAGTATGTATAGATTAGCTTCAGTTGACATTCTGACTGTCATTTGATAACTCAATAAAGCATATGGCAACATTTCATGCCAACCTCAGTGATCTTCAATCATTTTCCTGAAGATCTTCTTGATATTCTTATTGGCGGCTTCTATAGCTCCATTCATTTGAGGACGATAGGCAGTTGAGTTTCGGTGAGTAATCTTAAATTTCGCACATATATCTCTCATCAAGTGGCTGTTGAGATTTTCACCATTATCAGTAATGATGGATTCTTGTACTCCGAACCTGCATATCAGATTGTTGCGAACGAAATTAGCTAAAACTCTCTTGGTCGCCGACTTGTAAGAAGCTGCTTTCACTCACTTGGTGAAGTAATAAATAGCAACCAAAATGAATCTGTGTCCATTAGAAGCGGCCGGCTCTATTGGACCGATGACATACATGCCCCAAGTCACAAATGACCAAGGTGAACACATTGCATTGAGTTCGTGAGGAGACACTCGAATTAGATCACCGTGCACTTATCATTTGTGACATTTCTGCACAAACTTGCAACAATCATTATCCATAGTCATCCAGAAATAATCAGCTCGAGGGATCTTTCTTGCCAAAGTGAGCCCATTCATATGCGTGCCACAAACTCTAACATGTATTTGTTCGATAAGCTTCACAGCTTTAACAACATTGACACATCTTAGAAGACCCAAATCACCCAAATCTCAAGTTCTATAAAGGACTATCCACTTAGAAAGAAATTGAGAGCCATATGGCGTATCGATTTCTTTTGGTTGGATGTAGAGTGTTCAGGATAAATCACGGACTCCAAATACTTATTTATATCGAAATACTAAGGAGAATCGTCTGGTTCTGCTTCAGCATGTGAACAATAGATCGGATGTTCTTTCAGCTCTATGTCTGGAGGATCAATATAATCAGTATCTGGATACTTAACATCGAAGCGATGGTGGCAAGAGCATCAGCCAACTCATTCTATATTCTGGGCGTTTGTCTGAACTAGATCCTACGAAGTCTCTTGCACAACTTGTGTACATACTGCACGAAAGGTATAATCTTTGGGTTCTTCATGGCCCATTCTCCTTGAACCTGATGAGTCAACAGGTCTGAGTCTCCAATAACCTGTAGCTCATTCACTTTCATGTCAATGGTCATTCTCATACCAAGAATACAAGCTTCATACTCAGCCATGTTGTTCTTGCAATTAAATCGGAGTTTAGCTGCCCTAGGATAGTGTTTACCAGATTCTGACACCTAGACCGCTCCAATACCTTTTCCTTGATGTTTTACCGCTCCATCAAAGAATAATATCCAACCAGGATATGTTTAAGAAATATCTTCACCCACAAGCAATACTTCTTCATCGTGAAAATAAGTCTTGACATTTTCATCCTCTTCATCAACAGGATTTTCTACAAGATGATCAGCCAAAGCCTGCGCCTTTATCGCCTTCAGAGTCACACACACAATATCAAATTCACTCAACAACATTTGCCACTTAGCTAACTTTCCAATCGGCATCGCCTTCTGGAAAATATACTTTAGTGGATCCGTTCTAGAAATGAGGTATGTAGTATAAGAAGACAAATAATGACCCAACTTCTGGGCAAGCCAAGTCAAAGCACAACACGCTCTCTCTAAAAGAGTGTAACGATATTTGTATGGAGTAAACCTCTTGCTTATGTAATACATAGCCCTTTCCTTTTTTCTTGTCTTGTCGTGTTGACCAAATATGCATCCGAATACACTATCTGAGATGGACAAATACAGCAATAATGGATATTTTCGGAATCACATATGATTCTCATGATCACAAAGACGATCACATGCATGAGTTCACCCATATGTTTGTCATTGTATTCTAATAAACATTTTTTCCAGCTCAATAGATTCAAAAAGTCTTTTCAAGGCTTGTAGCGAGGCTGAGTGTAAAGTTATTGTCATTTAGGCTCAATGGCGACTATCCTCATGAAATGTTGTATGAACATCACTTTTCTTCCTTTTCTTCAACATTTTCATCATTATCCAAATTCACCCCATTAATTAACTTACAACGGACTACTCACACCCTATTCTTTTTGCATCTTTGACAATTTTTTTCATTACCTTTATCCAAATTCACTCAACAACATTTTCCACTTAGGTAACTTTCCAGTCAACATCGCCATCTGGAAAATATACTTCAGTGGATCCATTCTAGAAATGAGGTATGTAGTATAAGAAGACAAATAATGTCTCAACTTCTGGGCAAGCCAAGTCAAAGCACAACACACTCTCTCTGAAAGAGTGTAACGAGATTCGTATGGAGTAAACCTCTTTCTTATGTAATACATAGCCCTTTCCTTTTTTTCTTGTCTCGTCGTGTTGACCAAGTATGCATCCGAATACACTATCTGAGACGGACAAATACAGCAACAATGGATATTTTTGGAATCACATATGATTCTCATGATCACAAAGACGATCACATGCATGAGTTCACCCATATGTTTGTCATTGTATTCTAATAAACAGTTTTTCTAGCTCAATAGATTCAAAAAGTCTTTTCAAGGCTTATAGCGAGGCTGAGTGTAAAGTTATTGTCATTTAGGCTCAATGGCGAGTATCCTCATGAAATGTTATATGAACATCACTTTTCTTCCTTTTCTTCAACATTTTCATCATTATCCAAATTCACCCCATTAATTAACTTACAATGGAGTACTCACACCCCATTCTTTTTGCATCTTTGACAATTTTTTTCATTACCTTTATCCAAATTCACTCAACAACATTTTCCACTTAGCTAACTTTCCAGTCAGCATCGCCATCTGGAAAATATACTTCAGTGGATCCGCTCTAGAAATGAGGTATGTAGTATAAGAAGACAAATAATGTCTCAACTTTGGGCAAGCCAAGTCAAAGCACAACACACACTCTCTAAAAGAGTGTAACGAGATTCGTATGGAATAAACCTCTTGCTTATGTAATACATAGCCCTTTCCTTTTTTCTTGTCTCGTCGTGTTGACCAAGTATGCATCCGAATACACTATCAAAGACGGACAAATACAACAACAATGGATATTTTCGGAATCACATATGATTCTCATGATCACAAAGACAATCACATGCATAAGTTCACCCATATGTTTGTCATTGTATTCTAATAAACATTTTTTTCAGCTCAATAGATTCATAAAGTCTTTTCAAGGCTTGTAGCGAGGCTGAGTGTAAAGGTATTGTCATTTAGGCTCAATGGCGACTATCCTCATGAAATGTTGTATGAACATCACTTTTCTTTCTTTTCTTCAACATTTTCATCATTATCCAAATTCACCCCATTAATTAACTTACAACGGACTACTGACACCACATTCTTTTTGCATCTTTGACAACTTTTTTCATTACTTTTATCCAAATTATCTCAACAACATTTGCCACTTAGCTAACTTTCCAGTCGGCATCGCCTTCTGGAAAATATACTTCAATGGATTCATTCTAGAAATGAGGTATGTAGTATAAGAAGACAAATAATGTCTCAACTTCTGGGCAAGCCAAGTCAAAGCATAACACTCTCTCTCTAAAAGAGTGTAACGATATTCGTATGGAGTAAACCTCTTGCTTATGTAATAGATAGCCCTTTCCTTTTTTTCTTGTCTCGTCGTGTTGACCAAGTATGCATCCGAGTACACTATCTGAGACGGACCAATACAACAACAATGGATATTTACGGAATCACATATGATTCTCATGATCACAAAGACGATCACATGCATAAGTTCACCCATATGTTTGTCATTGTATTCTAATAAACATTTTTTTCAGCTCAATAGATTCAAAAAATCTTTTCAAGGCTTGTAGCGAGGCTGAGTGTAAAGATATTATCGTTTATGCTCAATGGAGACTATCCTCATGAAATTTTGTATGAACATCACTTTTCTTACTTTTCTTCAACATTTTCATCATTATCCAAATTCACCCCATTAATTAACTTATAACGGACTACTGACACCCCATTCTTTTTGCATCTTTGACAACTTTTTTCATTATTTTTCATTTGCTTATCTCTTTTTTATATGGAGGGTTTCCATCTTATTCAAGACCATGGCTTAAAAGGTAATTCATCACACTTCCTGATTTACCTTCTCTATTCACCACACCCCCACTTAGACTTTTGGCCTGAGTTGGCTATTCAAATAAACCACACTTCGTGAGAGTTATGGTTGAATGGATAAAGAGGGGCCACAATTGCTCATGTTTCTTCCAAGTGGAGGATAATACTTAAAGGAATTCAAGCAAGGTTCACACATATCACAACGTTTGCCACAAAAAGAGGTATATTATCAAGTTGTTCCACTTATCAAATTTTGCCTAAGATCATTTCCAAATCTTACATCACTTAGTCAACCAGACAAACAAGGCAAAGTAAGCTTATCACACAAGTCATTGGAACAATTATCAAACAAGAATCCACTATATCGCTAGTGTGCCATTCTCATAACTAAAGACTCATTGAATAACTAGCTAGCCACAATGATATTCAACAAAGTCCACACACTGTCTATGCAACTTAATTTGTCCTCATTTTAGCAGCACATTCATTTTTGTTTGATGAAGAGCATATTAATGTCATCGGTATTTATAATAACCGCTACTCCAATTTGTTAAACAATAGACTTTACACACAATAAGAAGTGGAAAAAAGTTTCACATGGGTCGAAAACTATTTTCATTCATAACAAAGATCCACAAGCTCAAACATCCAAAAGATAGAGTCAACCCACAATTTAAAACATAAAACCCAATGTATATACGAAATATAGTCACAAGAGGTAGGAGTGGAAAAACCTCACTCCACCACAAACAAAAAGTAATTGTCCTCAAATGAAAAAAAATCAAAATTCAATAAAAATGATGCAAATGGAGGTACAGAATAATCATGTGTACACAGTTGCTCCGTCTGTCGCAACTTTAATGCTTTGTTTCATACTCTTATCTCAGGCATCAGTGCCAAGGTTAGCAGCAACATTGGATCCACTTAAG